TCTAGTGAACAACTCTGGACTAGTGCAGATAGGCCCATGTTGATACAAATTAGTGCTTGCAAGCATCAATGCAACATCAATATTACCCCCAGTGGAAAATCCTGGACTAGCAGCCTTTGTTACTATATATTGGTACTAGAGCAGGAATGGTGCAACAAGGGTGCCTTGTGTCTCCAGTGGAAAATCCTGGACTAGTGCCAGCAAGCTTGTTATCGAACACTGCTTGCAAATACCAGTCAATACCATTTGTTACCAATGGGAAATCCTGGATTGGCATGTGAAATTTTATCAACAACAGGCTATTTTTGGCTATTGAATTTTGTTTTGCATTAATAGAATCTATATATACTAAGCTAATTTTAAATGTCTCAATTTAGAAACCTTCATTTCCACTCTCCATTTTCTTGTATCACAAAAATACAATAATCCAATAAAATATGCTGCATTTTTAAATAAACTGATACATCACTTGTTAAAGATCTATAAAAATTTTGTAAGTTAAAATTTTTGCAATTTTTTTTGTAACTGTATTAACTTAACTAAATTACAGGTCAGGGAAAATTTATTAATTCAAAAGTATCTTGAGGAGATATATGTAGTAAAAATGATATATCTTAACCCCTTCTCTAGTTATGATGAAAAAAAAATAAAAGGAATATGAATATTTGAAAAAACAAACCCATTGCTTTCTCATATACCTGTGATCAATACTGCCACCTGTTTTCCAAGAATAATAATAAAAAATAAAAAAATAATAATTCATAATAAAGCCTTCAACAAAATGATACTGGCAGTATACTAAAATCATATTGGTTCTAATGTACTTGAACTCATGAAAAGTACAATTATCTATATGTTTGTTTTATATTAACAAGTTACCCGATCACCAGAAATCAAAGAATTGGATCAAGGTGCCTTAATAGCTACAGGGTATATATTTAACTAAACTTAAGTTTTTAATTTTTAAAACTTTATTAATGTTAATGTTTGCAGGTATCTTTTGACAAGAGAAAGTTGAATATTTATCTATGTGCATAATATACTTGTAGAATTACAAAGGTCTGAATGGCAATATTTGCAAGAAGAGAAAGTTATAACAATGAACAGTTTTCTTTTCAATTATGTCATACATATATTTCCTAAAAATGTGATCTTAAGTATATAAAAAAAAATAGAAGAATATGATCTATCCTGGCTAGATGACAATAAATATAATACTACTGACAAAGGAATTACATTTTTTTTCAATAATAAAAAATATATTTAAACTATCCTTTAGATCTGTGTAAGAAGGCCTATGCAGCCTGGAGATATAGCAAATTTGCTCACACTGACCTTAATTTTTTGGATCATGCAATTGCAGCTACTTGCCTGAGAGAAATATGACCTATTAATGATAAAGAATTTGCTTGCAGTAAAGAGAATTTTAATAGAGGCAACTTTTATATGGTTAAATAGTAAATTAAAGTTGAAATAACAAGTATTTTTTAAATATTACAAATTATTAAAAATTTAAGTTATTAAGAAATTAAAATTGTCACAATTTTTACTAGGAAATACTCTTTATTGCTAGCCAGAGAATGAATTGCATGGTACTATAGTATTACTAATTAAAGATATAACTTGTGGGTTGTTTCAAAATTTGATCAAGAAAATAGCTATAAAAAATGGAGAAAAGGTAAAAAAAAACATATCATATGGATTACTGATATAATCAATTATTGACAGAACAACATTCTTTGCAAGTACTTGAAACATTGATAATAAAAAATAAAGAAAAAAACAATATAGAAAATCATGTTATTTTAGAGAGTACTAGTTTTAGAGAAAAGTATATTAATATAAAAGCAAGCGAACAATTATGAGTTATATAAATAAATTTATTTAAATTTAATAAAAGAAAAATTTTAAATTTAAAGTTAAAAAATATTTCTGAAAGAAAATATACTAGTTAAAATTTTTTTATTAAAATAAAGTTGGGTTAATTTAAACATATTTAATTTAATTTAGTTAAATCAAAGCAGTTATAGTTGAACATATTTTGAAATAAATTCAAAATGTATCAAATTGGGTTCAAATTGTTTTGCATTGAATCTGAATCAGATTCAGATTCGAATCAAACTATTATAATTTTGAATCAGATTGAATCAATTTAAAATGAATTAGATCTATATCTAATTCATATTTATAAAAACTGAATCAAATCAAATCTAGTTAAAATCTGATTTGATTCAATCTGTTGTAATTACTAGATACTAACATTATATTTTAAAGCTGAAAATAGAATAACTTTTTTTAATGGAGCTAGGAAAACAGTCCAATTAGTGAATACTTATTGATAGAAGAGTATTAGAAAACTATTTTATCACTTAAAAACAATAAGCTGATGTATATATATCAACTAGTTAGCTATTAAACAAGAGAAGTATGAAATTGATAAATACTTCAACTTACAGAAAATAAGCAAAAACTTATTTCTGAATCTATAATTAAAATAATATAGGAAAATAAATTAAAACAGCTTATAGAATCTAAAAAGAAAATGAAATCCAGAATATCCTATCTTTAACTTTAATTTTGATAAATAACAGAAACTCTGGATAATTGCAAAAAGCAAGTTTCAATAGTAACTGATAGCTTGGAAAAAAACGAATTCTAAATAATACTAGAAAATATATTAAAATAAAGATTTTGAATGTACTGTATTAACCTCTTTAAAAATCAAAAATCAAAACTAACCTAATATTAGAAATATACAGAAGATACAAAAATAGAAAACTAATATATAATTAAAACAAGTATAGAGAAATACATATAGTTTCCTATTTTAATACTAGAAAGTTAATCAGAAGAGCTCAACTATAGGAAATTTTAAGTCCCCAAAAATATTAGAATGAATAATATATAAAACAATATATAATAATCAAATAACCATCACAAATAAAAAATACTATAAGTTAAAATAGAGAACTAGAAAAAAAATATTATTAAAGATCATATAAAAAAAATACTTATCAAATCTATCTGATTGAAATACTGTACTTAAACATAACAAAAAAAAAAAAAGAAACAACAATCTTTTACTCTAATAGATCTTTTATAAACTATAAAAGTATAAATATAAAGATGAGAGTAGCATAGATACAGATAAGAAAAACAGAAAAAGAAAGTAAGTTTCAAACTGAAGTAGCTGATTAATCTTCATTTGCTAGGGCAAAACTAATGACAATAGTAACTATACTACTAGTAGTTTTGATAAACAGTAAGATTAAATTTATATATATAGTCAAATCTATATTTCAAAGTGAAAAACTATAAAAAAAAAAAATTCCAGAATAACTCATAAAAGATAGTTAAAAGAATAAATCTGGATCCTATAGATATAAATGTTAAATCTTATAAAAACTCTTTCTGCTGATCCTCTGACCACACATAAAAAAGATGTTCGCAAGAGTTTTTATACTTCCTTATTAATAAAATCTTAATACTTTCCTTAAAACAACTTGAAATATGACTTCAAGAGTCACTTTTACTCTTCTTCTATTGTTTACAAATCTCTTTACTCAAAAACTTAACTCCTAGTAACTAAGAAAAGTTAAGTAACATCTTTAATACCAATGGTAAAAAAGTTTTAAAGAAAGAAAAACTAACTGTAAAGTACTTGAAGGTCTTTCTAACCTTTGAAATAAGAGGTTTATAGAGGTTTTCTGCAGTAAAAAGACTTATTTTCTCCCTTTTTGACTGTTTTGACCCTCTTAGAGCTCCCATTTTTATAGTTTTTTAAGGAATTTTGCCTATTTCAGTTTGACCTTGAATTTTGGATAGTACAAATCTTCACCAAAGATGCTTGATTGGCTGATACAAAATATGCCAGTTTTTGAAATGTAAATAAGCTTCCATTAATCATACTTATGTGTTTTGATATATCATTAGTAATGTAAGAAAAAAAGTTCTAGAAAAAGTGTTTACTCCAATTGTGTATATTCAATCTTCACAAAACAATTATAATACTGAAAGATAAATGATAGATAGAAAAAGAAAATCAACTTCTATTTCTTATTAAGTTCCTCAAGTAATGAAAAGACTTTCTTGGACAAAAACTGAGGTTTCCAAGCTTCTATCTCAGTCAAGTAAAGTTTTTGAAAAGATTTCTTTATCCAGTTAGGCAAACTCTTTTATAATATGGCACTGGCTTTAGTAACATTAAGTGAATCTATATATCAATAGAAGAATAAGTTCCTTAAACATTCTTTTTGAAGTCACTTTCAGGGATGGTTAAATTCTTCAAACATTATGAAGCTTAGAGAATATCCTAATTAGGCAAACCCCTTTCGAGAGGAAACTGTGAAATGAAACAAGAATCTTTTGGAGAGCTTTTAATTATATTCTCTTTTCCCTTTCTTTCCAGTGTCAACTTTAGCAATTCATTATTTTTTGGGGATAATCAATAGTGACAAACTGTTGGCAATAACCCTGGCTGACTTAGAGACTAATGTTAAGCTACTAGAAGAGCATAATATTGTTCCCAAAATTTGATTTAGAGTACCTAGTTTAGATTTAGTTTTGTTTAGTCCAAACTAGCTTAGTGGATTTTTCATATTTTTTAAGTAGTGTAGTCCTTTAACTAATAATGTACAATGACGAGTTAGTCACTTTGTAAAAGTCTGTAAACATTGTGGTATCTTTTAATATCTCAATAAAGACACACCATTGTGGCATGATTGCGGGTTTAAAAAAATTGATTATTTTATATTATAAATAAATTAATATTTTTTAACAAAGATTTTAATTTTAATTATTTTAAGATTTTTGATTTTTATACAATATATACAGTATTTATTAATAAAAATTGATAGACTTTTGTGAGCTACCATATACAGTATATCCATAAAGTAATTATTTTTTTTAGTTATTATTGATATTATATTTGTTATTGTAGATTGCACATTGATAATTGATAAAAAACGTTGAGCGCGGAACTAACTTGTATTTCCTTATTTTTACACATTAAATGGGTAGAAGTCAAGTTTGCGTTTCTTTTCGGGATTCTCATGCCCATACTTCTCCTTTCCTCGTTTAGCCCGGTTATGCTTTTTAAAGAAGTCATCTTCACTTTTATATGGCCGATTAATAATAATGTTTTCAGCAGTGACATCACCAACCCCGGGAAGACATTATACCATCTTTTGTGGTTCCGAAAAGTTAGGATTGATGTTTTTTACCAAGGCAAATGTAGCACGAGAGGAAAATACAGGACCAAAGTACTGTTCGAAATTGTTACACGAAATAATAAAACAATCGTCATATGGAACTATTTCATAAAATGGTTGTGTTGTGAAAACAATCGTTATGAGACGGTAATTGGCAAGTTTATCGAAAAGCTGGTTTGTAGTGTTAAAAGCGGAACTCTCCCAATTCTTAATATGTTCATTGAGAAGATCTTTTAAAGTGTATGTGACCGAGTTATAGTCATATTTGGCTTGGTGAATACTTAAGAAACGATCACCTTGAACTGTTTCCAAAACTCTGAATGAATCTCCCCATTTAGCAGATACACCATTGACAATCACATCTTCGCCTTCCTCCCAGGGAATGGACTTTGCAGAATCTTTTTCTGTTAACTTTGAACATGGGAACTGCTCTTGTGCTCGGCGGACAGAAAGTTTCTTCAGCCTAACCTCAAAATTCCTGACCAGCTCGATCCCATAGGCGCCACGATATAACTCCCCCAGATGTACTGTATGCTTTCCACATTTTACTAGCAAGTTGGTGCGGAATGCCTCGTAGTATGCCACAAAAAGTTCCCAATCTTGCCAATGCATAGTGTTTTGCACCCGGAGTGTCTCTTCAAGATTGAAGTCTATAATTTTTAATTTATCATTGTATAAGCAAATAAAAAAGAAAGGCATCTTGATGGTAAATTCAGAGGAAGTGGCATTGCAGGGATTGAGAATGATATGTGCGTCACGCTCGAGGTTTTCGATCGTACAGTCCTGATCACTTGGATCCAGGCATGTCTTGCGATGAACAGGAATTGCATCAATACTGTGAAAAAGAAGCTCTAAAGCAAGTTTTTCATTCTTGGAGATGGTTTCGTATATGTTGTAGCGTTCTTGGAGAAGGTGTTTGACATTATAAAAGATGATATTAAAGTGCTGTTGATAAATATCATCGAAGAATTTCTTTCCATCGACTTCGATTTCAAAGCACACATCAAAGAGATACTGAAGTGCGCGAGGCAATCCTCCGGTGTCTTCCAAAAGTTGGAGAAATGGTCGACAAAGCATCCATTTGTACGTACCACAGCCGAATTTTTCAGCATCGTATTTTTGTGCATAATGATTTGTAATATTAAGCAGTGCTCTGAACGACAGTTGTGGGCAATTGACGAATCCAAATGAAACCCTTGATGATTCTTTCGCAGAGATAACAACTTGTGGTGCTGTTCCAGAAAGAAATGTCTGGACATAGATACGGGAGGGTGGACCAAGCATGAACGATGCAAGGCCGTTGATTATTTCCTTAAAGAGATGTTTTACTGGCATTTTCCTTTCGTTAACTGCGTCACACTCCCACCGATCGATGAGCTGAAACTCGTCAATATGAAGAAACACAAAAAGTTGCTGATTGGGTTGGATTAGATGATCATAAATACAATTGAAAACATTGGGTATTTTTAAAATGTCTCTGTATTCCCAGACTCGATCACGAAAAGTTATAAACTTCATATTATATTTTCTTTCGATGAAAAACACGTAGGCAATCCGCAGGCCGATGATGACTGTTGGAGTTAGCTCATCGTCATATGAATCAAGTTGACAGCTATTACCGAAGTCCAAATAGAGATCTTTAAGTTGTAGATTTGTCCACTTATAAGGGACCCAGTCGTTCTGGTTATTTTCCAGGTGTTTGAATAGTTCCTGTCCGAACCGAGTTTTACCTACACATGAGATTTATGGTATAACTACGTGTAAAATCAATCATCTTGAACACACTATATACCTATTCCAGGAGCCCCACCACTGACAAGGATATCAAAATCTGCTTTAGACTTAGAACCTTTAAGATGATTCCTAACATTTTTTATAATCCTTGAAATTGCCCGATCGGTGTCACGCTCCATAAAAGGCATTTTATCGTCAGGACTAACAATATCGATATTAATAGCCTTCTTTAAGGCAATATTAACAGCATCCATGACTAGTGATTAGTGATTAAAATAAATAATTAGACCAAATTAATATTTTGTTACTGCAAATCTCTTGTTCGAGGTAAAACATTGGGAGACACTTACCAGTGGTGGCGGGCAGTGGTGGTTGCACGATGATGCGGATGTTCTTCAAGTCACTATACGCAAAAATGTCACCAAAATCATCAAATGGAGTTAACTCTTGTCCTTCGAGCTCTTGTATAATAGTATTTTCATTATAAGATCTGTTTTCAAGTGTTCTCAGTTTAACGAATTTATCGTTTTCTGCATAATCAGGAATATCCACCTTTCATAGACGCAAATCGCTGGGATCAAAACCTTCGTTTTCAAATTTTTTCTTTCTTTTCTCATAGATTACTTCCCTTAGTTTTGAAATACTCGTTCCTGCCTGGCCTTCAACTTGAAAGGAGCTCTGAACTTCGGTACCCACCACAAAACAAAATGCAATTATATCGGTAGTATACCTGCAAACGCGTAAATCGAGAGTTAAAACGGGATTTAAAACTGATCTTCCAGTAAGTACAAATAAATAAAGACCTTGTTAAGGGAATGCCCTGAGGACTATTTAACGGGCGTTTCTTTCCATTCATCTTTGTATATAACCAGTTTTCTGTTTACATAATCTTTAGTGAAAATACCAACGCACGAAAACTTACAAAAAAAACAGGTGATCTTCATTATACAGTAAGTCACGATTGATTTTGCGGCATTTTAAAAATAAATGCGCAGTACTATTAGTACACCTGTGCGACATAAGATTTTTTTCTTACCAAGTCGTTGTAATATTTTCTCGTTGAAGTATCGCAGTTTAAAAAAGAAATTAAGTATACTTCTTTTCGGTGTGCATTTACGCAAGCGAATTTCATTTTCCGTACAGACTTGAGGACCTTAATAGCATCTCGGAATGCAAACAATATAAATTTTGTTGGGTTCTGATAATACACATTTTTTTTATCCAGTATATTGATGATTGGGACAATGAAACCGAACCATGAAGTGGGATAATGTGTATTAGTAGTGTAGACAAGCGAAAAACTAGACATTAGTATAGAAACACCATTTCACTTTGTAACAAGCAAGTTTATGTGCTGAGAATGCGAAGCTGAAGCAGATTATTGAGGGAAATACAATGTGCGATGCCAGAGTCAAGGAACTAGAACAAAAGAATACAAAGCTTGAAGCTAGACTTGCGATATTGGAACAGGCTTACTTGGTTATGGATAGCCAAACACAGAATGGTAAGGAAGTGATACCAGAGGTGCGGTTATTTATAGATAATTCAGTATCAGCTGTTGATTTATCTAACTCCATAGTGGGCCAACAAAATAATGCTGACATCAAGAAAATGGAAGGGGTACCAAAGAAATCAAATAAGGAAATAGATGATTTTATTCCTGAAGAATCGATATCAAAGATGACACCTGTCAATTTATCTCAGCCTTGTCAAAAATATCCAAAATCATTAGAAGAAAAGGAGATTGATTCTTTCCTAGATGTGGAAAACAAGAAAATATTTAGTAATCTGATGATAGAGAGGAATAGAGAAAAAACTTAGAACTCAAAAGCCTTTGGCAATACTTTCAACATATTCTGAATAGAAAAGCTAAGCATCAAATATTCACAACTTAATTGATACAATGTATAAAGTGCATATCAATTTAAAAATTTCCTCTACTATTCTTTGCAAAAAGGAATTGATA